CCCCGCCCCGCCCCTCCCGGAGCCTGCGCCCACTGCCTCTCGCCTCTTCCGCCCCAATCTGGCGCCCCGAAGGTCCCCCGGGAAGGGCGCTGCCAGAAAACCCTGGAGAAAACGCGGGAAGCTGCCGAGAAACGGGCGGGAAACGCTGTCTGCTAAAAGCCTTTCGCTTGCGAGGGGCGCTGTGTTGGTCTTCTCGGGGTGTACCTCGTTCCGTCCTCAGAGGACGGAGAGAAGGCTCAGTGGTTTAAGCCCTTCCCGGTATCACAGCTGCGCTTGAAGCGGGGAGCAGATGCAGCTCACAGCAGTGCCCCCCATCTTTCCATTGCACCGAAGGAGACTTCGGGAAATGACGGGAGCGCAGAAATGGCGAGATCCAGACAAAGTGAGGAGAGAACAGGGTGGGGGTGGGGGAGACAGACAGACAGGCAGACAGAAAGAGACGGAGAGACAGTGGATAGAGAGCCGAAGGAAGGAAAGAGGGGGAGACGACGGAGGCAGGCAGAGCAAAAAAGAGGGCGCTCAGCGAAGGGAGGGAGCGTTTTAGAGGCAGCAAGGAGAGCAGAGCGCCCCAGGGAGCCAGGAACATAAAAGGAGGCTCGGAGAGGAGACTGACGCTCGAGGGAGGCAGAGACGCAGCGAAGGGGGCCGAGACCCGACTACAGGGAACCAGAGAGGACACAGATGGGGGTGGGCGGGACAGAGGCTCGGGGTGCGAGGGGCGACACCGCTGGCGGGGTGCGCAGCGGCGAGCGGAGGGCAGGATGACTTGGCGGGAGCGCGGGGAGACACTCGGAGCGCCGCGCAGCCCGCCCCCGGCCCACCCCCAGCGAAGCACCCGCGGCGCAAGAAGGAGGCCGAGTCGGGGCGCACAGCGGCTGTTTATTGGGGCGGGGCGGGGCTGGCTCAGGGCGCGTCCAGCACCAGCAGCTTGTGCATGTACGAGTTCAGCCAGTGGCGGCGCTCGAGGGCGGCCAGCAGCCGCGCGCGCTCCCGGAAAGCCGCGTCGTCCGCCAGCGCCAGGCTCCGCCGAGCCTGGGGAGCAGAAGCAC